AATTACAATCAAAATAAAATCCCCTAAAGTTTGTGTCACCCCTAAGCCCTTTTGGAGGATCCGGCAGCGTCCTTATCGATATTACGATCACCGCTACCTATCATAACATGTAAATAATAACAAGGTGGAGCCGAAGGTCGGTAAGTAGGGTGATGCACGTGATATACAATGCTTTTCCGACTTCCCACCATACTCATAAATTTTAATTCCGAGTACCCTAGGTATTAGCAAGTCTACTCTATTTTTAATCCAGGTGATTATCGAATCACCTTCTCGCTATAATAAAATTATCCCTCATTATAGCCACTCGTTAGTGGGAGTCCATTGTCTAACAGGTGCGGTGCACATAACTTAGATTACGCACACGGATGGACTGTTAATACTCATTTATTCCCGTTAGTTTACCAAACCTAATCATGTAAATCAATTCTCAATCCATTGACTTTTCTCAATCCGCCCCACAATGCATATGATGCACGTGATGTTATATGTATCATACTAAACATATCCAACCCATACAGGATTCGATTTCATATATTTTCATAGGTCCAACCCACACGGGGTTTCGGGCATACTCATACCATTTATCATCATGAAATATTTTCATAGTTCCAACCCATATAGGGTTTCGGGCATACTCATACCCCTTATCATCATGAAATATTTTCATAGGTCCGACCCACATAAAGTTTCGAGCATACTCATACCCCTTATCATCATATTCCCCTTGTTAGAATGAAATATCGACAAATGATATTGGTTGAGTAATGGTTCTAATTATGGATGTAAATGCTTCTCTTTTCTTTCTCTTTAGTAATTCTAATCGTTAAATCGTTGTACACTTGAATTGTATAATTATTAGTGTTTGCACCAAATTTCAATCATATTAAGGTATACTTTTTTACTTTCATTTTCTATCTATTTGAGCTTAATTGACCATTAATTACATTATCTTGGTGAAAAGGAATGGAAACCAAGCAAGTATGGAGCCAAAGTAATGAATTTCGAGTGACTAGTGAATTACACGGGCAAGGACACGCCCGTGAGGGAGCTCGTGTAATCTGTTTGACTCAAAGAAAAACATATTTCTTCATTACACGGGTAAGGACACACCCGTATGGGAGGTCGTGTAACTGTCTAAGTTGAAGAAAAACATATTTCTTCATTACATGGGCAAGGACACACCCGTGTGAGAGGCCATGTAACTCTCGACTTGAAGAAAAACATATTTCTTCATTACACGAGCAAGGACACACCCATGTAGGAGGCCGTGTAACTCGTCTAAGTTGAAGAAAAATACATTTTTTCATTACACGGGCAAGAACACACCCGTGTGGGAGGCCATGTAACTCTCCGACTTGAAGAAAAACACATTTTTTTATTACCACGAGCAAGGACACGTCCGTATGGGAGGTCGTGTAACTCTTTAAGCTGAAAGTTTACTTAAGAAGAACCACTAAAATTTTATTTTTCTTTCCTTCCTTCTCCATTTTATTCAAGTCTATATAAGTCCTAAATTCACCCATCATGTTTTGGTCAACCCAATTCCACCATTCACATCCCCCCCAAACATGAATTTAATCATATATAAGGCTTTCTAAGATTTGGAAAGCAACCAACACAACTAATCAATACAACCAACCATACTAATAAGAATTGTAAGGTAAATCAATCAACATAACCAATCACAACAACATATCACCACCTAAATGCAAGTTCAGATCAATTGCATAAAGATTAAATAAATAGTATAAACAAGAAAAAAGTAACCCACTTACTTAGCTTAGGTATGGTTAGAATTTCCTTGGCTTTGCTTTCTTTTTCTCTTTTTTTTCCTTTCCTTCTCTTCCTCTCTTTCCTTCGTTGTTTTTCTCTCTTGCTTCGTAGCTATGGACTCGCCTAAAATTTTTCTTTCATTCTCACTTATTCTATATATATACATGCTTAAAATCTTAGCGTCAATTAAGTGTACAAATGTCTTAATTTTATTTGGGAGAGTGGAAAGCTATTGGTGAGTCATAAGAGAGAGGGTGGCGGGTTTGAGAGGTTTAGAGTTAGCTGACTTTAATTCATTAATTAGAGGGATTTAGGTGTCCTAATTAATTAGTTAGAGTAACTAAACACCCTAACCAATCTAGTTCAAGTAACTAAACACATTTCTTTCTATTAAATTTCAGAAATCTCTCTCCCTAAACTCGAAATTTTCTTCCCCCAAAAATATTCTAGCAGTTGATGCTTCAAGACCAGCCTATACCAAAATGGCCATAACGTTTTATGTATAAATCTAAAAATCATAAAATGTTATAAAGCGCTAGTAGACATATAGAAGAACAACTTTCATGCTTTAAGTTTTACCCAAAAATCACTCTAAAGTCCTCAAATAGATGACACTAAATTCGGAAAGAATATAGTCCTCAAAACACCGATTTTGCATATTTGATTTCTTTAATAATTAAACCATTAATCTCAAGCACAATAACTTTAATTTAACATAAATCACACATTTTAAGCATTAATCTCTCATGGTGTAATGAGAATTATACTTACATTTAATATATGTATGTATATAAATATTCTTATACGCGTCGCTTTACGGTTAAGGATTTTCATAGAGGTTACGGTGCGGATCTAAATTCTTTATCTTTGATTAGCCGTCCAAGTATTCAGCCTTTATTGATAATCCATGCAGCCCAAGTATCCACAAAGAAGCACTCAAAATTAATCGGGTGCTACCTCCACCTTTTCCGATTAAGTATTTCCTCTAGAAATCAATCCTATACAACTTTATGACAACCTTAAAGGAGGAGGAAAGAGTATTTCTTTCTAGACTTTAGGAGAAAACTATTTTCTCCTTTATTTTCTCTCTTGGCCGTGTGCCCTAAATAAATTTTGAGGGCTGGCCAAAATCTCCCTTTTTCTTTTCTTTACGTTAGTTGAATATTGCTCTCACAATTTTACTTGGCCAAAATACTCTTTTTAAGTCATCATCTTCCTTTATGCCACACCTCTCATCCTATTTATAGTAGGAGAGTTTCCTTATCCTCCAAGGACAAGGAGAGGGGCGGCTTTGAGTCCATAAAGGACTCTAGGTTGTTGCTTCCTTATCCTCTAAGGATGAGTTATTTTGTATGTAGACTACTTGATTATTATCTATTAAAACATTCAACCTTATCTAATAAGGTTAATATTTATCTTTAAAACATTCATCCTTATCCAATAAGGTTGATGTTTATCCTCCCATCAAAATTATCTTTAAGCTTTTTAATTAAATCTAATGTGCCAAAACTATTTTAGCTCAATTAATTTATTTGGACTATCCCAATAAATATTCTTAGATTATTTTGATGGGGTCCACATTAGGAAATAATTTTCTAAAATACCCTTTAACCTAAATTAGAAAACTCTTTTTCTTTGAGGTTCTTTATTTCCAAATTTGAAACTAACTTTCAAATTAAGAAACTGATTTATAAAATAGGAAACTTTCATTTTTGAAAACTTTCCATTTTGGAAACTCTTTCTAAAATAGGAAACTTTTATAATTGAAAACTTTTTTTAATATATTTGCTTCTCATTTGTAATGTGAATACTTAAACTTATGTTTGTGACTCAATAAGCTCCTAGATATGTTGGCAATGTATCAAGAATAAAAGACTCCTCTTTTATCTCTTGATACGTAAATCAAGATTGGCCTCTAGCAAAACATCATGACTACCTAATTCTCTAGGAGGATTAGTTAATCCATTATTACCTTTCACGAGTATGGTTGCCATATAATTCAATCCTCATGTCAATTTATCACGAGTGTGATCTCGAACTTTGTTATTAGTCTTATTCGATTATGATCACACAAGTGTTCTTCGATTCCCAAATGTCTTAGCTCTTAAAGTAAACCAACTATGCTCTATTAGTGTACTCCTAATGTGGCCACAGATTTCTTGAGTAGACATTTATCAAATTACAATATGATAACTCCTTTAGCATACAAGAAATGACATGTCTTATCTTAGTCATACATCTATCTTCATTGGATTCCTAGTACACCTAATGAATCGCCCACGTGCAACTCATTAATAGGTCCATTAAAACGAGTGTCAAAGTGCATAAGTCCTCCAATGAGATAACCGTGATGACTTCAAGTCTAAGAACCATTTGTACCCATCTCGTATGAGATTCTTATAGACTAAAACCAAATGGGTTCACATGGCGAGTCAAGTCTAATAATATGTTCTCTAACATGAATCACCTAAGCGCTTGCTTTGGCATCACCATGCCAATAGGTGTGAGATCTTCTACTCGCTATCATATAACATGAGTATTGCACTCACAAGTCTATCCGCATATTATCAATGTCCATTCTCGATAATGCTACGACTTGGGACACTTAATGATATCATTTATGTGCATTAGTATTTGTCTCATATCTTTCGATCAATCACTATTGCAAATGCATATCATAAGGACTTCTATATAACTCTAATGAATTTATCAACATGTAAACATAAGAGTTAATAAAATGATTTCTTTATTAAATAATGCAATAATACATTAACTTGGACCAATCCAAATATAGTTGGATCTTGGGCATCAATACTAATAGGGTTGTTACGGAGGCTAGTAGTAGTTAGCGCACTCACGAAGGGACTACTACCGCTACGTGAGCCCCCACTGGAGTCGGAGTACACATACGAGGCTACTACTGCTCGTCGCATGGTCGCTAGTTAGAGAGAGGCTGGTAGCTACGAGGAAGTCGGGCGAGAGAGCTGTAGAGGACTATTTTATGGGAGTGGGAAGGTTGTTTATAGATGGAAGAAGGTTGTTTAGGCATGAATGTGCAAAGAGACTGAACTAGAGGCTTGGCGAGGTGTTGTTGGTGCGAGCGATGAAAGCTTACGAGAGTGGTTATGACGAGGGAGAAGTTTTAAACATGGGGGAGCTTGTGTATAGATATGAGGTATGGGTGAGAGTGAGCTTACTTGTGGGTGTTTGTTGAGGAGGAGGAGATGAGGGGCTATTATGGAAAGGTTCTAGGTGAGGGAAAGTTGTAATGGTGAGGGAGAGTGGGTGGTCGGATATGTTTTTTTTTTTTTTTTTTTTTTGTGACAATGAACAGTAGATAATACTAAAAAATGCATAGGAGTGGGCTTTTATATGTAGGGTTTTCTTAGCAAAAATTCAATTTGGTCCTTGGTTCTCCACAATCCTCTAATTTGAGTTTAATTTTGTTTTTTTCTTTCGATAGAGTCCCTAAATTTGAATTAATTAGGACTTTTCTTTTCACAATTGTGCCCCCCATTTATTTTAATTAAATGATAGAAGTTTTGATTTTTTTTTATTAGACCCTCAATTGTCCCTTTTTATTACCTCCAAACTTTCCATTTGTTCAATTAACCCCCTTCCCTCTTTTTTTTTCTTTTTTTAACTAACCTAAACTAATTATTCCAATTGATTTTTTTTCTTTTACTTGTCATTTTGTTTTGCTTACCATTTCTCTCTCTCTCTCTCTCTTTGCTCATTCCATTTTCATTTTTTCTTTTCATCTTCATTTTCATTTTTTTGGTATTTTGCAACAAAAAAAAATGAAGAAAAAATAATAAGGGCAAAAATTTGGGTGATAACACAATGTATCACCTTTTAGAGGCTAGATCTAAAGAAATATTCAAATTTATAGTTTGATTTTGTATATTTTATTAATATTCTTTTATTTATTAAAAGTTTATAAATTTAAAAAATATGAGAATCTTAATTGTGTGTGTGATTGAATAATGCATACTTAATTAAGACTTTTTAAAACTTTATGAAGCAAATTGAAATATAAAAAATACCACATCATAAGTAATGTTAGTTTAATAGATGAAAGAAAAGAATTAAAAATTTGATGAAAGTTCACGAAACCTGATCAGGAAACAAATTAAAATTTATTCAAATAAAACCTCCATATATTCTACATGGACAATGCCATCTTAATTAACATGGGATCTACAAATATGATTTAAGGTCCTCTTTGTGTTTATTTGATTAAAAATATGTATCCAACGATCTTTTGTAAGCTTGAATTCGAGTTATAGGAAGATTTTTTTTTACTGAAATTTTTTCCCTTAAAATTTTCTGTAGGTTTATTGTTGTACATTACAGAATTGTGTGATCCTAGTTGCTTTTATTGCTGCATTTTGTGTCCCACAACTACTTTGGCTTTTTTGAGATTTTGAGTTTCTTCCCTTTTTTGTTGTTGTTCTTCTTCTTCACCATTAAAGGAAAAAAAAAAAAAAAAAGCAAAACACCTAGGTTTTTACAAAGGCTATGCTGAGAAAATCGAAAGAAGTAGGAATTTGAAAACACCTAGGGGAGTTTAGTACAGATTCTTAAATGTCTTCGTGGCAACTGATTTTTAAAATTTTGATATTAATTTGTGCTTGGTTGATAATAAAAAGTTTCAATAATTTGTCTCTTTTTTTTCATCCTTGAAAATTGACGAAAAATACAAAAAAGTTTACCAGTTTATCCTTAAAATTTAAAACATCTTATTTGACAATAAATATTTTTTTAATATAAAAACTTTATGTACACCCACACTAATCAATTAAAACAATTGTGTAATTATTGGTAAAAATAAGGTTATATTAGACAATTTCATATAAACAAATAGGAGCATTTAAATGTGTGTGTGTATATATATATATATATATATATAAGATTCATAGTGCCGAAACTCTTGACATATCAAATTCTCCTCAATTTAGAAGAGAATTAAATTTTGAAACAATCTAATTTCCTAAAACATTTGAGGTTTTCTAAAATTTTAGATGTCTTGACTTATCGAATACAAATATACTTGATATTTCAAATGATTTTTTCAAAAAAAAAAAATCAAATATCAAATATCTCTCGTACCAAACATCCTCTAAAATTTAAAGTTGGTTTTTATATTTTTAATGTCGACCGTGTGCAAGCTCAAAGCCCCATATAATATCATAGCTTTGTTTGTTTGACAAAAAAACAATATCTAATAGGAAAAGCAATTCTGAAGAAGCTATTTTTTAGGAAGTTGTTTTCCAAAAAGATATTTTCCGACGTTTAGCAATTACATGAAAAAACCGCTGAAAAATATATTACAACGTTTCTCGATACGTAAAATTGATATACAATAACAAACCGTGATTGTTACATCAATGAGTTTTGAAAGAACTTCAACAAGGCATATTCACAATTTCATAATATAAGATGCATTTAAAAAAATTTAATAAATTTTTATAAATACTATACGTAAAATTTAAAATCAAAAAATAAAATGTACATTTTTAACCATTAAACCAATTTATCAAAATTACTTGGGACAAAATCAAGTCAATATTCACTTTTAATAAAAAAAATTCTAAATAATCCTAATATTGTTATTTTGGTAACTCAATTAATAATTCTTTTTCTTTTTTGAAAATTGAATTGATGATTTAGTTTAAAAAATAGTTTTATAAATTATAAATTATCATTTATAGATAGTTATTTATTTGGTTTCAAAAATTAATATTGGAATAATTTGTAACTAATTATTGACTACAATTACCAACAAAATTTTATAACAAATTAAAATTAGTCACAAATTATTGATTTAGTTGTAAGAGAATAATGTTGAGAAAATAATATATTTATTAATAAATTAATTAGTTTCAAATTTTTTACAAATGATTACGAGTCTTGTAATAATCATTTCTAATAATTTAAGTATAGTTTAGGTGATGTTTGGGATAATGATAAAAAAAGAAAGATAAATTATTAAAATATTTATTATAAAAATAATTTTAAGGTATAAGAATTATTTTTAAGAATATTTAATGTATTTATAAATAAAAAAATCAAATGTTAGTAGGAATAGAAAAGAAAAAAATTAAATAATCAACAATAATTGATAAGAAATAATTAAAAATTAATTTGATATGTTTTAAATAAAAAGAAGACGAGAAAAAAATTGTTAAAATATATCAAGAGAGAAGTGAGTAATGCGAGAGGGAGATAGCTTGTAAGAGAGAGAAAATATTTTTCTCTTTTTTAACTCGAAAAATAATTTTTTCAAAAATCATCCATCAAATTTTGTTGACTAAAAATCATTTTTCATTGATTTTTTTTATAAATGCGAACAAATATAAAAAAAAATGAGAAAAATAATTTTCTAAAACTTATTACAAAAAAAAAAACTAAAAAATCTGGGATTGTTACTATTCATTTACTGTAGCATTTGATTTTTGTTTTTTTTTTTTTTGAAAGGCAGCAAGGGAAGGCCTGCTCGCTTGGCCTTTTTCTTACTAAGCACGAGCCTGAGTGTGTGTGAATAGCAACCATGCGCGAGCCTGAGTCTGGCCACCTTTTTGTTTTGTTTTTTCCTTCCTATATATATATATATCATGAAATTAGGTCTAAAAAATATAAAAAATAAATCGTTAGTTTTTTTTTTTTAGTTTTATGTACAATTTAAAGATGATAGAATATATATGATAATTTTTAAGATTTTAGTTTGAACATATATATATATATATTACTCTTATTGTTTAAAAATTATTTCTTCAATTATTTGTTTCTTATTAAAATTTTCATCGGATTAATTTTTTGATATAATTTTATTTGTTAATAAATTTGATTTTTATTATATGAATTTTGAAATAAAATTTTAGAACGTCGATATTTTATTTTTAAAAAATATATTATCATAATTTATATAATAAATTATTTTTATGCTTTTTAAATTAATGTTTTATTTTTTAAAATTTATTATTATAATTTATAAATTATGACTATATATATATATATATATATATATATATAGAGAGAGAGAGAGAGAGAGAGAGAGAGAGAGAGAGAGAGAGAGAGAGAGAGAGAGCTAAGAGTATATTTTATATTGTTTGGCTTAATTGTTTTTGAAAAAACAATAATAATCGGTTAAAAAATTCTTACATTTTATTTGCTTTTTTATATATATTTATTCAAAATTTATCAAAATCAATTTTATTGTAGTTTTTGTTTTAATCTATTGAATTCAAAATATTTCATACAATTTAGCGAGTCTAGTTTTTTTCTTTTTTTGTTATTTTCTTCATTATATATATATATTATCATGAAATTAGGTGTGAAAAATATAAAAAAATAAATCGTTATTTTTTTTTAAGTTTTACATATAGTTTGAAGATGATAGAATACATATGTTATTTTTTAAGATTTTAGTTTGAACATATACATCCGATTATATTACTCTTATTGTTTAAAATTTATTTCTTCAATTATTTGTTTCTTATTAAAATTCTCATCGAATTAATTTTTTGATATAATTTTATTTGTTAATAAATTTATTTTTTTAATATATGAATTTTGGAATAAAAATTTTAGAACGTCGGTGTTTTATTTTTCTAAATACATTATTATAATTTATACAATAAATTATTTTTATGCTTTTCAAATGAGTATTTTATTTTTTTAAATATATTATTATAATTTATAAATTCTGATTTTGTGTGTGTGTATATATATATGTAGAGAGAGAGAGAGAGAGAGAGAGAGAGAGAGAGAGAGAGAGAGAAATAAATATGTTTTTGATAGTTTGGCTTAATTTTTTTTAAAAAAATTCACAAGTTTTATTTGTTATATATATATATATATTCAAAATTTATCAGAATCAATTTTGTTATAGTTTTTATTTTAATCTATTGACTTCAATGTATTTCATATAATTTAGGTGGGTCTTGTTGTATATTTTATTTATTTATTACATATGTTCCGAATCTATTAAGTATAATATATATATACGATTTTGTTCAATATATAGATTCGATTTATATTATTTATCAGAATTAAAACTTTTACTCAAACTATAACTTACGAATCGTTAACGTTACGTATATAATGATTATTTGATCACAACATAACACGGGTACATAATTATTATTATTTTTTTCCGAAAACAAACATAGCCGTAATAGCACGCGCCTTACCTAATTGTGGTTTTTCTTTGGTCCTTCTGTTCGAGAAATGGGCTCCATCACATGTAATTGATAATTTGAAAATTTAAAATTAGATCAATAACAAGCATGTTACTGTGTTTTATTTATTTAGTCTTGATTTTTGTGTAAATTGATTTTAAAATATGTTTTTATAATGGAATGAATAAAAAATTATAAATTAAAAGGGATACAGAGGATAGAAGCCTCCTATCTGTCTCTTTCTGTTTATGTTTCTGTTTCGAAAATCCTGACAAAGTAGATGCAGATCTGAAGAAACAAAAGCGGAAAAGGTTGATACATGTCAAAGAAAGCATGGATCGCGTTCTAAAAGCTGGAAGAACCTCCGGTTCCCTCAACCTCTCCAACCGCTCTCTGAGGGAAGTACCTGATGAGGTCTACAAAAGTTTGGATGCAGTTGCTGAAGGCGAAAAATGGTGGGAGGTAATAATACTACTTTTTTAAAAACAGTAATTATACTTGCATTTTTCATTTCTAATTAATTTAATAAAGTTTTGAATTTAATCAACTGGATTAGTGGTTTTTATTGATTTGTTTACGCAGAATGTGGAGCTACAAAAGCTGATTTTGGCTCATAATAATATTGAGTCAGTAAAGGAAGACCTTAAGAATTTATCTCAACTAATTGTGTTGAATGTTAGCAATAACAAGCTCTCTGCGCTTCCAGCCGCAGTAGGAGAGTGAGTGATTACTTTTTTGTTTCTGATTTTTAGTGTTTTTAATTTTATGTGCTTGATGTTTACTGGTATGTGATTTGTTTTAAATTTATTTTTGACAGGCTTCCTATGCTTAAGCTATTAGATGCTTCTTTTAACCTGATTCAGAAACTACCTGATGAAATCGGATCAGCAACTTCTCTTGTCAAGTAGGCGCATTCTGCAATTAGGCTTGGTCTTTTTTTTTTTTTTATCGTTGTTATGGATGGTAATGCTGGTTGTATTCGTGCATCAGTGTTTGTGAGTGTGTTTGATGGTTTGATGTTTGTTGGCATAGGTTTGATTGTTCGGGAAATCAGCTGAAGGAACTCCCGAGCTCACTAGGAAGATGTTTGGATTTATCTGACTTGAAGGTAATGCTTTATCATGGTTGATTGATGAATAGATGCACCAATTGGTTTCCCTTTATTAGCATGAGAATTCTTGTAATTTTTGTGCTTGTGGAGTTTGAGCTTGAATTTTTTCAATGCTGATGAATCAATACCAGAACTGGTTGTAAAATTGATGCATTTAATGTCTGTGATAATTCTTAAGAAAAATGGTAATTAATTAATTATTACATTGTTGTTTCGCTCGAAAGTAAGTGAGCAAACTGGCATGATGTCTGAGGTCGGTAGGATTTGTTTTTAAAATTTTTATCTTTTGATACAAAATATCTAGTAGTTTATTTTGAACAGATAGTTTTAGTTGGTATTATCAAGTTTACTGGTGAGAAAAAAAGGCTCTTTTTTATTTAAAAAAAGGCTCTTTTTTATTTTACTCTTTTTGAAACCAGAATACAGTAGCTAGTACGAAATATGAAAACTGAGTAACTAATATTGAGGCTTGCTTGAAATCTAACCTGCTGTTGATGAACTTTATAGTTTTAAGACAACAATTATCTTGGCATGAATTGGAATACATAAATATTCACCTTTTTGTCATAGTGTCATCTATGCTTCACATGGAAGTTGCTTCTGAAACTTTTTTCCCCAGGCATCAAACAATTCTATCACCAGCTTGCCTGAAGATCTAGCAAGATGTTCAAAACTGACAAAAGTAGATGTGGAGGTATTACAAAGATTAATTGTTTTAGCAGTCAGTGATGGTTTTTTAGCTTTTTGTTAGATGTATTTGGGGCTCCAAATATTTACCAACATGGGATAGAGAAGGTTTAATTTGTGTATTGATTGATCCATGCCAGGGAAATAAGTTGAAGGTGTTACCTGGGAATTTGTTGGCATCATGGACCTTGCTTACCGAATTTAATGCATGTAATTATCTGCAGTAGCTGTTTTGTTTCTCATTGAAATGAGATATCTAATCCCTATTTTGAAATTGGTAGAAAATTTGAAATGTTCCTTTTTTTTTAATTTTTTTATTGCAATCTTTGCAGCAAAAAACTTGCTGAGTGATATTCCAGACAACTTTCGAAGCCTTTCACGACTCATCCGCCTTGACCTTCATCAGAACAGTGAGTGGATTATCCAAGGACTTACTTTGCACAATATCCTTTTGTTTTTAATTTTTGTCATTGGAACATATTTTTTCTACCTCTTCTAATAAGTTTTCGGCATATGGCTATGCAGGAATCTCCTCAATCCCACCCTCAATAATGGGTTGTTGTTCCCTTGCAGAATTCTATATGGGGTTATAATCTCACCCATTGATTTAATTAACATTTGAATTTTTTGAATATTGGGAGTATGTAGAATCTTCTTTTGCATGAAACTGTTACAGCTTTAATACTCATCTGGCATCTGGAACCTCTAATTTTCAGGAACAACACACTGTCTACCTTACCTGCAGAAATAGGGGCACTTTCTCGCTTAGGGACATTGGATCTTCACTCAAACCAGGTAGCTAGTTGATTATATTCAACCTTGATATGAACACTGGAAAAAACTCTACTTTTGGTTGTTAGGACAGGGTAAAGTATAATGGTCTGTTTTGATATAATCACTTTTCTTCACCTTCACTTGACAGGAATAATTTCTGTATCATTTATTGTTTCATACCAGGATTGTGGAACTTACATTTAAGATTTTATTGACTTGTGTTGGAACTTACATTTAAGATTTTATTGTCAATTAACAATTTTTTTTTTTTTTTAAAGTTATCTGCATCAGCCAACTGGAACAGTCCAGGTGGTTGTTTATTCCTTTCTATTCCATCAGGCTTAGAATTAGTCCGTTGTGCATTTGATACTGTAACTACTTCCAGTGTTATTAAATCAAGTAATAAAATATTATGCAGAACATGCATTTTTATGGTCATCTAACAGACTAAAGTGTAATGGATGATTACTTCGCATTCATACAGTTGAAGGAGTATCCCGTGGAGGCATGCAAATTACAGCTTTCAATGCTGGATCTTTCGAATAATTCTTTGACTGGATTGCCCCCTGAGCTTGGTAAGGTCAACACTCACAGCATGTTAAAAAGATTTAATTCTGGTCTGTTTTGCATAGGATGCAATGCTTTTAGCTCAATCTTTACCTGCAACCCAACTCAACAGTCCTTAATCCTGTCTTCCTTTCACAAGTTTTTCTTTATTTTGATTTATCTTGCTTAGGCAGCCAAAAGAACTTAAAAATTGTTGATCATTTAATATTGAAATGACAGATGAATAATGGGTGATCTTGTATTTTGTTGCCTAGGGAAGATGACAACTCTAAGGAAACTTCTGCTTAATGGCAATCCATTGCGAACTCTTCGAAGGTGGGAGGCATGGCATTGGTTTTGGGTGGATGTTCAATGTTTTAATCAATAGGTGCTCATTGGATTTTTTTTTTCTTTTTCCTCTTCTTTACCAGCTCGTTGGTTTCGGGACCCACAGCCACTTTATTAAAGTTTCTTCGAAGTAGACTCTCTGAAGGAGAAGGTTTGTCCTTTTGTGCACCATACTTTATAGTTCCTTTCTTTCTTTCCTTATTATTATTATTGTTTTTGTTGTTGTTGTTGTTTTTGGTTAATTTGTTCTGCAGTTGTTGGAATTCAGATTCTTTATTCAATTCCAAATTTCCTTGATTTCTAATCATGTACCATTTCAAATGACAATGCCGTGCTTCTCATGTAGATTCTAAAGCAACTACTTCATCGAAGGAGGATGTAATTTCCATGGCAGCTAGATTGTCTGTTAGTTCAAAGGTACCATCATTTCATTTCTGCTTAACTTTATCTAGGTGATTGCTTCATATATTAAGGATACCTGTTTGCTTGGTTTTCTTAGCTGAAATTACCATTCATTAGCACATTTGATCAGGTCCATGATGTTAGGTCATTGCTTTTGTCTGCCAGCTTTCTCTTCAAAGAGGGGATTCTGGTAGTTGCATTAAACTTGGGTTTATAATTTTAGCATACATTTGAACTTGCAACCAGTACATGTACTTACAATTTGCTAAACTATTACTGCCTTTCTTTTTCCTTTTTGTCTCAATTAATATTTGTGCTTTTAGGAGCTATCTCTACAAGGGGTGGGTTTGACTGCTGTCCCATCAGAAGTATGGGAATCAGGTGAAATTGTAAAAGTTGATCTATCCAGGAATTCTATTCAAGAGCTGCCATTTGAACTCTCCTCCTGTGTTTCCCTTCAGGCAAGTCTTTTTGCGCTATCTTACATTTGTTTTCATTCTAGGGGTTTGGACACTATCAGGTAAAATATTCTATTTGCACCTGTTCTTTTACCTTTTTTTGGACCAACTGCTGCATCTAGCCTGGCCACCTCTCTTCATTAAATTTGAAATCTCTTGTCACCTTGGACTCTCTGAATCAGTGCCATTTCCATTTTATCCTTTTGGTATATTCTTTAAAAACTTTTTAAATGCAATGTGAAAAATAGATTGTTTTTATCTAATATCAATATGTTGAAATGGTTAGAAGCCTTGAACCTTGAAGCGTTTGCAGTGACTGAGCTATCTTTTGAACTGTAAGCAAACCAAAAACAATTGGTTCAGGGATGTTTGTCTGAATGTATTGACATTGAAACATACCTTTTCATTAGCTACTATTTTTAGAATTAATTTGTCAACCTTTTACTTAGATTCTTGTGTAAGTAATTTATGATTGGCTTTGACTGGATGCCACCTGGTCTAGAGTGTCAAATATTGAGAAGCTGGCATTTTAAATAACCTGAAACTGGTACTAATACAAATTGATATTTATCTAAATGTGCTGCAGTCTTTGATTTTATCCAGAAACAAGATTAATGACTGGCCAGGTGCAATTTTGAAATCACTTCCCAATCTGTCATGTTTGAAGCTGGACAATAATGCACTTACACAGGTAAAAGGGTTCTATTTTATGATTCTGGCTTTTATCCAAATATAAGACTATAACAGAGACATGAAATGGACAGGCTGAGTTGTTGGAGGAGTTATTTAGTTGTTCTATATTTTGTGATGGTTTTGTTAGCTTAATCTCTCTCTCTCTCTCTCTCGCACGCACACACATACACAAACGCAACACAGTGAAATGTGTATAATAATAATATTATATGATCTGCTACTGGATTTGTGGCAAATTTTCCTTTGATGCTGTCAATTTATGGGTTTGTTTGTGCATGGGCATCGAAATTTTTGTCCACCAAATTCTGCATCTAAGGTCAGGATTTGTAAATTAGCCATGGTCATAAGATAAGTCCTTAAATGACAAATTAAAAATCTTGTTGTAAAGATCTTTATTGGGTTCTTTTTGTTGCCTTTCTGTCCTTGTGATGTTGCTGGTCAACATTTGAATATAGGTAACTTTGTGGTTGTGATTTGGATGGAACTTAACTCTATGTTGATAGTTCTCCCTTTGTTTCTATTTCAATATGTACTTGTCACTATCAACCTCTTGTCATTTTCCCTACCAAAATATTCCTTTACATGAACTTCAACTCCCTTTTGTCTGTTTTAGCTGTTTGTGTCTATTGTCATCCAGTTATTTTCCTTTACCTGTAGATTTCGTCAGATGGATTTCAAGCTGTCCCTGCACTTCAGATTCTGGATCTAAGTGGCAATCCAGCTTCATTACTCAATCATCCAGCATTTTCCAGCTTGCCTCATTTGAAAGAGCTTCATCTCAGGTCAGCCAACGGCTGAAGATTATAACAAGAATGGTGGCATGCATCCATACAAAATACATGCATGGATTGCATCCACACATACATATATGTGCATGTGTATATATATTTTCATGCTTCATATTCTGTGCGTGTATTCACTTTCTTGTTTCTGAAATCTCACTAATTTCTTCTCTCTGTCTTAACTTCTGTATTACCTAAACAGAAAAGTTCAATTATGTGAAATTCCATCAGATATATTCAACTTACAGCAACTTCAAATCCTGAATTTGAGCCAAAATTCACTTCACTCAATTCCAGAGGTAGTTTATATGTTTTCTAATATACATATATAAATATATATATATATAGATTCAGCCATAAAAGTGCCAATTGTTTTTTTTTTTACTTGTTTAAGTCAGCATAGTTTGCATAGTTTTAATGTTGATTTAATGGCACAAGAATGCCATTTTTTTTGGTTCAGCTGTCAATTTGAATTTTTTTGTAAGTCATTTTATTGGTTGTTGAAACATGTTGGTCCTGCTGTGATGTTAGTCTTTACATTATCCCGTTCCTTTATAGTACGGGGAAGAAGTGGACTTTAGGGTTACTACTAATTGATTTGATAAATTAAACTTTATCGATTCTTTTAGACCATCCTGCAAGAGTTTTTTTATCTAACTATTTATATTAAAATTTTGTATTAAATTGAATTATTTAATTCATCCTGTTCCTCTTCAAGAACAAAATGAGCATTTTCTTTACCTTTTGGTGCATTTACATGGCATTGAGCCCTTGACTGTTTGCTAATATTACATGCAGGGGTTCAAAAATCTTACCTCTCTCACTGAGCTTGACCTATCTGACAATGATATTTCAGCACTTCCTCCAGAGCTGGTGAGAATTCACCATTGTGTTGACATAACTGGCTACAGAATTTCGTGTTCTGAATTTGGGTACCCAGAGCAAATAAATTATGACAAACTAAAGAAAAATAAATAATTATGACCACTATAGGAACTTTCGCTATATGTGCTGCTTAATTTTACCGGTTGCGTTCATAGTAATTGCATAGGTTGTTCATAGCTTTTCTTCTTCTTTTTGAAATTTAGAACTTGCACAGCCAACCACTAAATTTATTGTAGCATCTCACTAGCAGGTCACCTAATTAGTTTGTTAAGCTTGATTTAACTGCATTACTGTAAGATAAATTGTTTCCTTCAGTTGATTCACATGAGTTCTTTTATCAGGGTTTGCTTGAGCCAAGCCTCCAGGCCTTAAGACTTGATGGAAATCCATTGAGAAGGTAAGATGCTTTGCCATTGTTGACTTTGCATTTTTGTAAATATTTCTTTGTGTTATGAAAATGTTATTAACTTCAGAGGATGTTGCTCTAGATGATTGGAATGTACAAATGAATTCATGTAAACCGACCAGCTGTAGTTCTTGTTAAAACTTCAATTTAATTTATTTGATTTCTAGACAGTTTCACAAACTAGTTTCATTCCATACTTTTGTTGTTAGTTGAACTTATCTGAAAGGAAAGGTCATAGCTTAAGCTGTTCTATTTGAGTGTAAATCAAGGGGAAGTCTCTTAGCGAAGATGATGAGAAGAATTTTTCCATGGGCTATAAAATTTCGTACCTTACAGAAAATGCACTCAAAATGATTGTCAAAAAAGAGACTTTTCATAAAGTCTTCTGGATGTTTAAATGACATCGCCAAGAACTCCTTTATTCTGATAGAAGGCCCACTCTTTTCTTCATCATTTCTGTTAGATTTTGAACTGTTTATGTTTTTTTTTTTTTTTTTTTTCCTTTCCTACAGCATCCGGAGAACAATTTTGGATAGGGGAACTAAAGCAGTCCTGAAATATTTGAAGGATAAAATTCCAGAGCACTAGCTTGTTTATTTTTCCATGATTTTTCCAGGTCAAAATTACAGTACTCACTTCCATAATTTTCTATTTTGAAGCTGATGCTGATTTCAAGTTTTTTTGTTTTGAATTTTGTATTATGGAAAGTTGATTTGAAAGGCTTGAATTGCCAACTGTAGCCTGTATTGGTTGGTTTGTAACATTAATTCTACTCAAAACTTTGAGTTGGATTGTGATTTCAGTCCTAACTGTGATCCTGACAGATGCTAGTTGAGTTTATCTTTTGTAGGGTTGAGCATGTTTTGATGTGAAATCGTGTATTCGTAAACTCAAATCTTGATGTTGATAAATGATATAACCATGGTATTTTTAAATTAAAAATACTAATTTAATATTAATCATTCGAAATTATGACTAAGTTCAAAAACAAATTTGAACCATCCATCCTCTCTTGGTTTTTTGGTAGCAAAAGCTTTCCATTACTAATATATATATATATTGATTTTTATTCAACTATTTGTTAGTATTAGTAGTGTTCTTATGTTTAATGTTACAGTAAATCCTTTAAATAAAGTTTTAGAGATAAAACATAGTTGTACAGTAGTGTTCTTGTTACAATGAGTTACTGTAATATATACAACTTCTTACTCTTATCCTTGATTAATTCTCATCCTTATCTTTCTCCCTCAAGCCGAGCTGCGAGGATTACGGTCAGCTTGTTAACTTGATGTAGATGTTTTCGTTTTGCAAGAAATTTAGTCAAGATGTCGGCTAATTGATCTTCGGTAAAAATGTAACGAACTTTCAATTCCTTTTTGCTGACTTTGTCCTAGACAAAATGGAAATCAATCTCCCAAGTGTTTTGAACGGGCATGTAACACTTGGATTGACTTGTGAGGTAGGTAGCTGAAAGATTATTACACCAAAGTATGAGAGTTGTTGCCAGTGGAAAACCTATTTCACGCCAAAGGGCCTACAACCATGTTACTTCGGATGTTATTGTTGCCAAAGCCCTATATTACGCAGTAGTAGATGAATGGGCTATTGTTCTCTGTTTTCGAGAAGTCCAAGAGATGAGGTTGGTACCAAGGAAAATCGTATATCCTGTGGTGCTTTTCTTGTCTATAATGTCGCCTCCCTAATCGGCATCGGTATATGCCTGAGATGTGATGAGAGGATGATGGAGTTAGGAAGAGGCCATGAGTGGGAGTTCCCCCGAGATAGCACAAAATATGTTTAACCGATATCCATTGTTCTATAGCAGGAGCATGCATGGACCGAGTAACACGATTGATAGCAAATGAAATGTCCGATTGTGTGAGTGTGAGGTATTGAAGCCCACTAACAATACTCGAAATAATGTTGGATTTTCAAAAGCAATGGTGTCCATGGTTGAGGAATGCAAGTTCGCCAGTGTGACCATTGATGATGCATTTTGCATATTTGCTTGTTTCAAAAGGTCCTAAATATACCATGATTGGTAGAGGTGTAATCCTCCTTTGCTCCTAGTTACCTCTATACCTAAGAAATAATGCACATAGCCAAAGGATTTAATAGGAAGCCGATGTTGAAGACCTAAAATAAACTTCCCGATGAGGTTGCGATTATTCCCGGTTAACGGAAGATCATCAACATAGATAAGGTAATAGATTGTATCCAAGCCATAACTATAGATCATTCAAGATATATCAACCTTGGAATTAACAAAACCTATATTACGAGTTCGAACTTAGGCTTGTATACCACATTATGGGGGCTTGTTTAAGGCCATAGAGAGACCTTTTGAGAGCACACACAAAGTCCGGATGTTGGGGGTGGATGAATCCCTACAGCTGCTCTATATAAATTAGAGTATCCAACTTATCATGTAAGAAGTCATTTAAGATATCCAACTGCTCAATATGCCAATCATAGGTTATTGCCAAAGACAAGATGAGACGGATGTGCTAGGTTTCACCACTAGACTAAAGCTATTGGCATAGTCTAGACTAGGGCGCTAATGGAATCCTTTAGTTACTAAATGAGCTTTGTAACGATCAATGGAACCATCGAGCAATCACTCGATCCAAGTACTCCCATTTACAACCAATGACATTGAGAGCTTGAGAGCGAGGTACCAAATGCCAAGTGTCATTGGTTAGAAGAACATCAATTTTCTCATACATAGCTTGCCTCCATTAAGGTTGAGTGCTGGCCATTGTGAATAAAGTGCGTTTAGTAGGTGGGATGGAGCTAAGGAATGTTTTAAGCTTGGTGTTTTTATTTTTATGCAAGTTATCATGGGGTGAGAGGGTGGTGGTGGTCGGCATCGTGGGTTAGCCGGATCCGACTAGGGAATGGTGGGTTGGTGAGGTCATGTCTATAGAGGGTGAGTTAGGGCGGTAGGATTTTGGATTGTGATAGGGTTAGAAGACGGGGTTTATATGTAATACGAGAGGAAGGAAAAGGCTAGGAGAGAGAGCTAAGGTGTTTAATTAAATGGGGGAGAATTGTGAGTTCGCTGGCTTGTAGGGCGTGTTAGGCTGGATTGGTTGGGAGCCTATGTGGGCTATTTGGAGTGGGATTGTTGAGGTGAAGTGGACAAGTGGCTGGATTGGCAAGGCGAGTAGTACACGGGATTTGGTTACGATAGGTATTTTGGTCTATGTGACGTGGGGGTTAAGTCGCAGTGGTGGGTATTTATGTGAGTTTTTGTTTTGAAGTGGGCGGGTAAGTGTAAGTAGGATAATTTATAAGGGAATTAGGAGGGAGATAACTATAGGGGCTCTTTAGGTCGGTAATGATTTGAGGAATTTTGGTGTTATGGTCGGATTTTTGACAATAGAGTTAACACCTTCAATGGCGACTTTGAATGGTAAAACCTCGTTCATCAAAGACAACATAACGTGAGATACAAATTTTATTAGATGTTATGTCTAAGCACTTATACCTTTTATGTAATAAACTATAGTTAAGAAAAACATAACGACTTAAATGAGGTTTCAATTTATTTTTGGTATATGGACGTAGCCAAATATAGCAGACACAAACAAAAACACGCAAGTAATCGTAATCCAAAACTTCTTGCAAAATAATTTCATGAGGAAATTTATGATTAAGTAAAGGTGTAAGGAGACGGTTGACACAATATACAACGAGTGGAAAAGGTATGATCCCAAAAGTGTAAAAGGACGGATGCATGATGAAGTAAGACTCTGCTAGTTTCAATGATGTGTCTATGCTTTCGCTTAACATAACCGTTTTGCTCTAGTGTGTAAGGACATGAGGAACGTTGAACAATGCCAAATTTGGCTAAGTAAGATGTGAGACTTTGAAATTCACCCCTATAATCGATTTGAAAATTTTTGATGGACTTGTTGAAAAGTTTTTCTACTAGGTGCTAAAATTTATAAAGCAATTAAGGATTTCGATTTGTATTTGAGAAAATAGATCTAACTAAATTTATCGTAATGATCATAAAATAAAATATAATAATTGTGGCCTTGTAGAGATAAAATTGGAAATGATCCTCATATATCGAGCATATTATTTCTAAAGGAGCTTTTGCTCAAAAAGTGGAAACGAGAAAATAAAAGTTTATGGGCTTTGCTAATGCGTAAAGTATGACACAAGGTATGTTTGTTGTCATGGGGAATAGGAATATTAAACCGACTCAAAACTTTTACAACGAGTACACATTGATGCATGACCTAAAGGGGCATACCATATGATCGGACTACATGAGTGTACTTGAATAGAAGGAGATGATGTCGAAGACTTAATTGGCATGGTATAAAGGCTATTATCTAGAGGTCCATTGTGGATCATTTTCTTCATGCGAGATATCCTTAATCAAGAAATAGTCAAGAAAAAATTCCAAGAAAACATTGTTAGATCTAGTAAAAACGGATACGGATAGTAAGTTCGACGGGAGTTAGGCACATGAAGAATATGATCAAGACTATAAGAATGATTGTGTAAAGATAAAAAGGAAAACTCAAAATGAGAGATAGGGAGGGTTTTACCATTGCTTATTGTTACTTCTTCGGGTCTCAAGTACGGAATGAAAGGCTAAATTATCAAGATCACCTGTGAGATAATGTGTAGCTCCATTGTCGAGGACCCATTTAGGACTAGTTTGGGTGGATGTGAGATGGGATGTAGGTATGGAAAGTAGAAGTGGTCAAGTGGCGAGTTGTGTATTTAAGAGAGGGCAAGCCGAGGCAAGATAGTAGTTATAACAAGTTGGTGTTATGGTCGTTGGTGGTGCGAGTGATCTGTCACTGTAACTAGATGATCAATAGGAGTTTGGCTAGTCTGTAGGAGTGGTTACGGCCCTCTAACATCCTCTTCCATGAGAATTAGAGGACTAGCGATTTGTGTAATGAGTTGTGGGTAAGATTTCTAGTGTAGGGGAGACGACTCTCTCTCTTTTTAATTGTATTTCTTCACTCGGTAATAGACCAATTAAGTCATCAAAGCCGATCGATTATAGGTGAGCTTTAATATTACATGTGAAGGGTTTATAATCAACTCCAAGACCATGCAAAATAGCATCAACAAGATCATCCTTTGAGATTGGATGTTGAAGAGCTACAAGTTGATCGGAGATATGCTTGACACGCTTCATATAAGTTATGATATCATCATTCCTATGTTTTAATTGATGAAAATAGGATTTCAATAATTGAACATAAGCTCGAGATCTAGATGCGTAGGTAAAGATGAGTTTTTGTCATGCCTCGCGAGCGAGAGGTGACGCCAACTACTCGTGATATAACACCTTCAAAGAGGGAGGTAATTATCCAACGTAAGACCGGTTGGTCTTTAACAAACCAATTTTGATAGTTTGGATTAGGGGCTCCATCTACTTGAATAGGAGGTAAGATTTCAGAATCTGTTGACATGTTTCATGGCTTTGTAACCTTAGAGAATAGGAGCAATTTGGGTGAGCCATAGAAGATAATTTGTGGAGTTAAGTTTGAGGGAAAGGCGATGTCGGACATGGGGAAGAAAAGTAATGTGTGTGACTATCGAGTAAAGGGATTCTATTAGAAGGTTGATGGATTTAAAAGAGGAGGATTCTATCATGATAAGGGTTGTATGTGATTTTTACTTGGAGGAAGGAGTCGATGAATAATAACGATTGGGGAAGGACGATGATGAATAGTGATGAGTTGGAAAAAGAAGAGATAACGGCGAATTTAAAGGTAGTGTTTTGTTTACGATTAGTGGTAGTGGGTGGCTGATATGTTTAAGTTTATGGTAGTTTGCGGGAAGAGATCAAAAAGAACAAAATTTACAACAAAAGTGTACTAGATAAGGAGAGAAAAAAACGAAGGAGAGAAGGATGTTTAGGAGCAAAGTTTGGGCGAGTGGTCGTTAAGCCTAGTTCTGCTATGATACCATATAGAAATCAAGGATGACTTGCAAAGAACTTTCACACACGTATATTCACTTATGTTTAATGTTACGATAAACTCTTTAAATAGAGTTTCGGAGATAAAAATAGTCGTACGAGTAGAGGTCTTGTTACAATGAGTTATTGTAATATATATAACTTCTACCTCTTATCCTTGACTAATTGTTATCCTTATCAACAATCATCTAGTTTGTATTCACAAAAACGTGATTCATATACCGAGATAACACCCATGCCATGTGCTTTTATATATAGAAATGAAGGTATAGCAGACAATATCATTGATAAAATTGTAAAGATGTATTCTTCGGTACAAGATTAGACATCGAGATAGAGATAGAGACTTCTTCAATCCATACCCTCTAGGTTCTGCTAATTTTCCTAAACCATGAGCAACCTAATTGCCTCCTCCTTTAACAAGTACCAAAGCAAAAGAGAGGAACATGTCATGCGCTTTTTATTTAGTTAGAATCCATATTGTTTGTCGAAAAATCTTTTCATTATGGCACACTTAGTTAAAGTTTTCTTGAGGAATATATAGACTTTGCATATTGACTTGGTTAACTTCAATTGGCATAATAATCCGAGATAGGCCAAAACTTTTATTGTCATCATTAACATATTGCAAATGTCAAGGCTTTGGCCGTAGTTCGCTTCTCTATGCATAGCTAGAGCAAAGCGAGTGATCAAAGTTTGAACTTAGCGTCATACACTAATCCCCGCAAGCTATGCTCCACTTGGTCAATCTCAATTAGGGATGCCAATTTGCCTCGCTCCAATGGAGCCCCGTCCCTGCCCACCCCGATCAATGCCGGGATTCCCTAAGTTGATTGGGGAAAGTGACGAGGCGCTCCACCTCGTATTGATTTTGAACAAGAATGGGGCGAGGATGGTATTTGTCTACCCCGTCCTACCTTATCATCCATGTCTCGTCCCGTCCATTTCTTTGGAAATTATAATTATATCCGACATATATATAAACTCTAAGGCTACAAACTAATTTTCAATATAATGAATTTCGCTAATTTCTAAGTAATAACGACATGTAAGAATTTATATTTTTTAATTGCATTTGTGATATTTTATCAACTTAATTAAATATATTATTTATTCGATTGAAAATAATTTAATATATTAGGAGTTGTGTTGTAAACTTGTAGTTGAATATGATTTTAATTTTTATTTTTCTTAATTATATATTTTTTATATGAACTATTATCTTTTTGTTATAGTTTAAAATTTGATACAAGATAATATGAGGTAGAATAAAACGGAGCGGATGCAAAAAATTAAACAGGACACCAATGCCCCTAAGGATCCCCATCCCTTGCCCCCGGCCATCCCCGCCCTCGCTCCGTCCCATTATCATTCCTAATCTCAACTAAATCTTATAGGTCATTCCTACCTCCGTCCAATCTCATTGCCATTCCTAATCTCAACTAAATCTTACACTCCATAGGCATAAGAAAATCACCATTTTTACGTCCAAGGTTCAAGCTGTGCCTCCTGAATCATGTCGTAGTTGATCTCAGAGTTGCCGAATCTAATCAATCCCATGATTTTTTGATTATGGAACTATACGCATGCATATCCCTGTAAATTGTGGAACTAAAAGTATATCCATAAATTTTCTTATATACAGCTATTGGTGTAACATCCTTGGTGAAAAACTTGATTTGTGCCATGAAGTAATCACAATTCAAGTGCGTTTGCTTAAAGAGGGTAACAAAAATTAAATAGTCCCTCTAGTTTCAATAACTAATTAATTAGTCCCTATATTTTTAAATCTATTTGTAATTTAATCTTTTTCTCTTTTTTTTTCAATTTATTTATTATTTTTTTAATAAATAGAAAAAGAAAAAATATATAAATAAAAACTGAAACCATTGATTAGAAAAGAAAACATTTTTTGGAACCGAATAATAATAAATTAACCATAATCAATACTAGTCAAAGTACTAATTAATTAACTATTGAAACAAAAAGAACTATTAAATTCATTCTACACTAGAGGGACTGATTTATAATTTACTCGCTCAAAGCAGACCTTTTAATTTCAAAACGACTTGCAGACAGGAAGATTGATTTCTGAGGACTCGAAAACAGTCTACATGAGGAAGCGCAACAGACAGCCTCTCCATAGGAAATTATAAACAGTATTACATTATATATGTATATATATATATACATATATAATTCAAAAAATTTTATTCTCAAGCTCCCAACCACCTGGGACTTGGGAGAAGCTAACAGCTTGAGGAATGTATTCTATTTGAAGCTATACCTTAAGAGTCAGGGCCAACGATCTTTATTTCAGAAAAAGAACATTAACATCGAAGTCATGTCAGAGGATTTCTCTATTCACAATTTTCATGACTTCGATTCTACTGCAGCATCTTGAAAATCATCATCCGGTAACAATCTAAACCTTAGGATCTTGTGAAGTTGTGCAACTGGCTTCACTTCCTTAGTTGGAGCTTGGTTTGGATCTATTATGCATCTACCCGCAAAAAGGTTCGCTTCTGATGGTCCTGCTTCTTCCTGAACCAAAGGGGCAGCTTCTGCAGAGACACTTTTCTGTTAACAAAACTGCAGTGACAAACATCAAAATTCCTCTGTGGAATCATTCAATTCTCTTGGTAAACCATTGCCAGAAACAATTAGTTGCAAACAGAAAGCCAAAGGTGACTTGTTGACCCCGAGTCCTAGCTCTTAGATCTAGGTATGTTTGTTAAAAGTTTCCACCGAAAGGAAATGCACTGCCAAATGATGTAAGGAAAGCTTCTTATTAGTCTAGTTCCTTGAACCAAAGGAGATGAATAGAGATAAGCTCACCATTTTCTGAGAAAACAAAGCATGTACCAATTGTATCTTCATATTTCCCAATCTGAGAAACCAAAAAGAAAAGGTACCAAATTTATGTTTGTTGTTAATTTGTCAATCAATTGAGAAAATACTTAGAATATACAGGCATGCCAGTGCTCTTCAAACCCAACATGAAGGCAAAAATTTGCTAGGTCAAAATAAATGCATGATACAACAAGCCATCAACCCACCAGCTTCACTTTGTCATCTATAATCAATATTGGCTCCGGAGTGTCAAGACCCTGGAATTCAAACAAATGATTAACTAAAACAAAGTGAAAATTAGTGACATGAAAAAAAAATCAATAGAGATTAGCTGACAAGAAAATAAAAGCATTTGATCCCAAGGAAAAGGCACACTGAGTCAATAAAAATTCGGAGTCAAAAAAGAGTTTAGAAGCCACCATCATCCTTTCCAGCTAGTTCCAACTAAAAACAAAGCACACAGCCAATATAGCTTGAAGAAGAAAGACAGAAAACAGCCAAGGGTTATCGTTATCAAATCCTTCAAGCAGCAGCATCAGACAATATATCAATACGGGTTCGTGGAAAATAAGCAAAAAGCCTTCTTGTTCATCACATAATTTAATAAAACATGAATTGCAACAGCTAAAAATCAATGAAAAATATCCGAACTAGAAAATTACAAACCAAAATACCAACATATACTTGTTTCAGCTTATTTTAGCAAAAGCGCGCCCAATTTAAATTCAATAATCAAAATTATAACAATAGCATGGACATGTGAACTCAAAATAAGAAGGCCTCCTCATTAATCAAAAAAAGAAAAAAATTGTGATAAAGCATGAAATGCAGCAAGTAGAAAATCAATCGATGAATTTCCAAATTGTAAGCCACGGTACAGAAAGTGTTTCAGCTTAGATTAGCAACAACAAAAAAAGTACATAATTTAAATTCAGTGAGCAAAAAATATAACAATGGCATGGATTTTTGGATTCAAAACCCAGATAAATTTCAATTTTAACAATACCCATCAAAGATATTGAAGTGGGCTCATGCTGAAGAACTCAAAGATATAATCTTGAGTGTCAAAAGAAACAAAAACGAAAACTTTGCATATTGTAAAAAAGGGACGTACAGAAAGAACATATGGTGTATCTGGAGTAATATCAACTTGGGCAAAGACAGCATCAAGATCAAGAAGCACGTAGTCTTCTTCTTCTACTGCTTCATCTTCTTCTTGAACATCATGGTGCATCAAGTCTGCCTCCATTGTCTTTGTCTATACACACAAGTGAGACTAAACTAGTAAATTTTAGTAAGTATTGGGCAAGAGTTTAAAAAACTTTTCGGGTCAAAAATACACTTGCCATGATTGATGAAGCCTGAAGAGACTTTGAATTGGAAAACAATAGTGTTTTGAGAAGCAGCAGAATCAACCTCGTTGATAGCTTCATGCCTAAAACTATGGCGGGTCTGGGCCATGAGGAAAAGGCTGGTCATTTAACAAAATGGCCTTAAATGTGGCCTGGGCTGGGTGATAAAAAGGAAAAGGATAAGATGGGCCGGTATGAAACATCTATATGCATTATTCAACCTAATAAATATTCATTAAAAATATCTAATATACAGTAAAATGGATAAAAATAAAGAAATTCGTACTTTCTAATATGATTTCTAGGTGTGAGTATCTATTTTTTATCTTATTAATACTCAGTAATTTTTTTTTATTTATTAATATGTAAGGATCTAATTGCATAAAATTTTAAAAAATAAGAATTAAAATATTTTTTTCAAAAACTTTAAGGACAAAAAAACTTATAAATAAATAATTAAAATAAAATAAAGTAATGATAGAAAAACTTTTCGTGAAAATTATAGGGACTAAAATAAATATTTCTTACAAATTAAGTTTAGCATATATTAAATGGGTATTAAATGAACGGATAAACTAATATAGACTTAATATCGATTGAGTAAATATTTATATGATAATTTTTTAATAGATAATGGATAGGGTAAAAAATTAAATTAATGAGCCGGATAGCTGTCCATTGCCATCCCTAAATAAGAAATAGGTTGCAGATTTTTTCTTTCATTTTCGTTTTCGTCTTTTTCTTTTTCATCTTTTTAGGTCAATTTTTAGGCATTGGAATTAAATTTCTTTCTAGTTGGATCTAAATGTTCATTAAAAAAATATTAAAGATGCTAAAAAAATAGTACTTATTAATTTATAATTACTTAAAAATGATTATTTTATGATTTAAATAATTCATTTTCTTCTCTACGGTAACCGGAAAAAAATTCCTCATTGAAATTATATTTAGTTTTTTCATAACTATTATTATTATAGAGTATTTAGTTAAATTACAAAAATATAAGATATTGATATGCATTAAGTGAATTTATTTAACTTTTTGTAATCACTTACTTATTACGAAATAAATAATATTTATTTTTATTTTGAATGTAAAAATGTACTTTTTAAGTTGTAATTCTAATATATATCAATAACCAGCACAATGATCAGGCAATTAGTTAAGTTACTAAATAAGAAGATAGATTATTAGAATATATTAGTGAAAGTATTTAATAGCCTATCATTTAGAGATACTATAGTTATAATACCTTCAAATAACCATATGAATTGTTCAAGTATGCATTGAACAGGCTCTAGATTTACTGGTCCGAATAATCATATAAACTGTCCGGACTTTGGATCTACAAATGCAACACTAAGTTTCCATAATAGGTTAGGATTGATTTTGATACCATCATATGTAACTTCTCAAACTCGGAAAGAGGATGTTGGTGCTCATTGAATAACTTTTGTGTTCGGTTAAACGTCTAAAATATTTTTTTATTGTTTTATTTATCTTAATCATGTCTCTTTATTAATTTTTTTAATAATCATATTCTTCTATTCTTAATTTCGTTTCTCCGATCAAATTTTTTGATAACTACATCAATTTCCAATAACAGATTCATATGATGCTGACACATGGCATTTAAAAAAAGATTTTTGAGTGTTTTTAAAAAAATCCTAAAAAAATAAGAAAAATTCGAAAATGCCACTCTTTTTTCTACCTCTATGTATAGAAATAAATAATTAATTTCATCTCTCATTTTTTTCTTCTTTCTCTTAAATTCAAACAAAAAAAAGAAGAAGAAAATTATGTCTAGGAAAGAACATAAGCAAATTTTTTTTTTTTATTTCAAATCCAAACTCGAAAGAAAAATTTTTATGAAATTTTCTCGTAACATAAGAATAAAAGGAAAAAGCGAGATAAAAAGAAGGGCATTTTAGGATTTTTTTTTCAAAATTTGAGAGGAAAAAAAAAGTTGATGAAATTAATTATTTATTTCTACATATAAATTTAGAGAGAAAAAAAGAGGCATTTTGGAATTTTGTTTTTAGATTTTTTAGGATTTTTAATTTTTTTCTTAAAAAATTGTCGGTTTGTAGCATATTATAAGTCTCGTCGTCAAAAATTGATATAATTATCGAAAAATTTAACAAAAGAGAAGATTTTAAGACATAAATTAAGAGTAGAGGGACACGAATATTGAAATCCTAAAAAATAAGACATACTTCGATTACGAAAAAGAATTGTAATAATAAACGCTAAATTTATTTTGTGCTTTTCTTTTTGTTACAGTTAAGTGACCCTCTTAAGATAATTGGTCCTATCCAAAGACAGTTATATTGCCTCGAAGTTTTTTGTAATGTTGTAAAAGTTTGCTTAATTTTTTGTACAATTTCATATTGTTCCTTACCAATGATACGAGGTTGGAGCAGAGTTTACATTGAATCTAAAAAGTCGATCGCTGGATAAATATTTTTAACAACTAATTCTCTTGCATTGCTAGGAAATATGAACATTTGTGACAAAAATCAATAACACAAATTTATCGATCACAAATCAATGACAGATCACCAACCAATTTATCTGTCTCAAGTTTATATGAGTTAAAATACTACCTTTTTTTCTTTTTCCTTGTATTAATTTCTGATTCCATAAATAAGAGCATTAAATCACAATTTACTCCATCCTTGATTTCAACTTTAGACCCACGCTTAACATCACCCAACTTATCAAAAGTATTATATTAAAAGGGGCCTCTTGAGCACCCCATTATGGCCTATTTTTTAGGGCAGGAAAATGGTGTCTCCAAACATTGACCGTTTTTTTTTTTTTTAAAAAAAAAATGGGTATAGAGAATGACTTAATAATTCCAAAGATACTTACCTACCTATATCTCCATAATCTCACCCCGCATGTTATGCTAGCTAGCTACATCTAGACTGGATGAAATTCTATTGCCTTTTCTCATTGCTCCGGCGGATTCAATATTTTTATTCCAAAAAAAAAAAAAAGTGCATAGAATTTTGCTAATTATATTAAAATGAATTGAATAATATTATACTTTGTTCCCACCGGTCTACATAGATTATAGACGTCTCAAGAGTCTAGTCTCTCTCAGCCGTCAAGAGTTGGCGTCGACAAACACATGCACGTGTCACGCGCCACTATCCAGCCGCCGCCGGAACTTCTTGTGGGTAGAAAAAGACTAATCATTTGTGTGCCCACTCATACGTTATCATTTGAGGTCGAACATGAGCACTAAGTTTTTAAGTGTGAGAATAAAGAATCAGCATATATATATATATATATATATATATATATTTTTTTTTTCATCACCAAATTGATGCAAGTTGCCCTCATCGCTATTAATACCAATTTCCTTGCATCGTCAAAAACTTCACATCAAAGTAATCAAACAAAGTTTCTGTTTTTTTAAAAAAAATTAAAAAAAAACAGATATTCAGATTAACATTTGTTATTGATTTAAGCTAATTTAATTGAAATGATCTAACATTGTCACTGAAATCAATATTTGTTTCAGTGAGAAATTCAAGAAATGGAAGAATTATTTGATGTGATTTCATGTGAAACAAATTAATGTTTAATGTGTTAATTAAGATAATAAATAAGTTTATTTTTTTGTATATTATTTCAGATTTAAATCAAATGAGATTATAAAAAACTTCTTTTTTAATGCTATATAATCCCACTGAAAAAACTGGGAAATTAAGAAAAAAGGGTTCGAAATTTTCATTTTGTTAGGAGCGAAAACAGGGAAATTTAATTAGGTCCAAGCCAAGGACCAAAAGTAAATTAAAAAAATATGTGAAAGTAAAATTAAAAGCTTGTTGAGAGCGAGTATGCCCATTTGTCTACGCGCAAAAGCTGGTCCCACAATCCTTCCTCTTTGCAATGGTGCAAAGCTGACGCAAAAACCACTTCATTCCTCCCACATGGCAACTCCACCGAATTCCACGTGTCAACCACAAAAAGGGTGACAAAATTCTAGTGAAGTCCAACAAGTAGAATCCACAAAAGAAGCCAAAGGGCTTTTTCTTCTTCCCTTCTTTCTGTGCCCTAATTCGCTCCAATGCAATCATCTCTCTTTAATCAAACCATAAAAATTAATTTTAAAAAACAAAAATTAAAGTCTAGAGAGAAAAACCATGACTGACAACTAAGAAAAAATGTGGCCATAAAGACACCTCCAAAACCCTAGCTTTCTTGAATTCTCTCTTCTTTTGCACTTTTTGTGCTCAATTTGGCTACATTTCGGTTCATAAAGTTGAGATCAGCTCTAAAAAAGTGAAATTCTATTGTTTTCTTTGTTGGTTTGGTAAGTGATCGCTAGTTATCAAAACCCTTTTGCTGTTTATTGATTTTGAATCAATTTTTTATCTCAAAATCTCACATTTCATTCACTGTTGTGTTAAAGTTGTCGTCAACTTTACCGAAACCTTTGCTTGCTGATGGTTTTTTGAATCAAATTTCATTCAGTTTGTGTCTAAAAAGCGAACTTTGATTTAATTTATTGTTGAATTGTACTCAATTTTGCAGGTTAAGCTGTTGGTTTTGGTGGATTTGACTGATTAAGTTTTGGGAGTTTGTGCTTGTGTGAGAACTTTGTCACTTCTGATGTTTTATTTCCAATCATTGTATCAAAACCCCAATTTGAATTTTTCACTTAGACCCCCTTTCTTGTATTCTATTCCCTCTACCTTTCTTCCCTCTGATGTTGTTTTCTTCATATGTTGCTTTAATTGCAATAGATTTCGCCTAAAAATTTGATATCTGTTTGCTTATTTATGGTCCCTGTTCGAGCTTGGTCTTGTTGAGTTAACGTTAATCGTTATTAGTTTTGGAGAGCAAGTGTTGGATTTTGAGGGTAAAGGATTGGTGGGTTCATAGTGAGGGTGAAAAGATATAAATGGCCGATAGGTATAGGTTGGTCTATATTGAGGATTTGCCATCACATTTGATTTTTGAAATACTGACTACCGGCAGGCTCAGTGCGGCTGACCTTGCTCGTTTAGAGTTGACTTCTAGGACATTTGGAGGGAGTCATGGGTTGTACCCTAAAAAATTCAGGTCGTTGGTGGACTTTGCAGCATATGAGCTGTGTGTGTCGCATAGAGTGTATAGTGGGATGGGGTGGAATGCTCAGAAAGAGTTGTTTGATCGCTGTGGAGGAAATTGGAAGCGGGTTTTGAGGTTCTTGCAGGCCGTAGAGGAATCATCAGGCATGGTCAAGACCTCAGCATGCAATGTATGTTTTCTTTTCATATACTTGCTTTTACATTTCAAATGAAAGAATGAAGAACTACATGTGCAAAAGTAATTACACTTTTTTCATATGGCCTTTAGATTCCACAACATATATTTTGGAGTTCTTCTTTAATTCCACCCCAACCGAATGTTATTAGGCTTTAGGACTCATCATAAAGTCTGGTATTCACATTAAGGCGTTGGTGTTGTTCTCCTCGTGAGCATCATAAATGTGAGTTTCTCATATGAACTAATATAGGAAAAATGAATTTTAGGAAGGGAATCTAGAGTTCTAATGATTGTTATTGTTTTCTAGGTGCCTAACGTCAATTGGCATACGTAACAAGAAGTGTCAGATTCCTAGAGAGGAAATATTAGGAAAGGTCTTTATTTTCCCTTTTCTTAACAAAAGGAAAATTAGAATTGATTTTCAAGAAGATGGCCTTTAAGTTCAAGTGATAATACCTGTGTGTTTAGCGCCAAATCTCGCCTACTTTTTTCCTGTCTTTTTTTCCTCCCCCTTTTAGTATTAGGCTGATGCTTCTGGAAGAGTTATCAATGTTTATTATCTTTGGCTTAAATCAACAGATGCAGGTTACAACTGGAAGATATCACACATTGCTGATCAGAGATTCATATGTATATTCTTGTGGTTCCAGTTTGTGTGGTGTTCTTGGACATGGTGCTGAAACAACACAATGTGTAGCATTCACTCGGATTAGGTTCCCATCTTTGGCTAATGTGGTCCAAGTCTCAGCCTCCCATAATCATGCTGCTTTTGTTTTGCAGTCCGGAGAGGTTTATAACCGTTCATACTTCATATTTCATCAGTCATATGTTTTTCTCTGAACTAATTGCTAGAATGAGCAGGCTTAAGAGCAGACCTTTAGTGGACCAATGTGGTGATGCAGGACAGCTTAGGGCCTGTTATGAATCTGATCTTTGGAGGCTGTTTAGGGGCCTGCAAGAATATCAGGAAATACATGGGTAGGTTTCTAAGAGTCACACCTAAGGGGGGATTGAGTCACACAATCAAAAGTAAATTGCTGGAATTATAAACTGTCATTCATAATTTGAAAGACTACACTCTTGTATGTATAGAGTTGTAGAAGTCCACATCCTACTAGGACAAGGATTCCCGAACCTCGAACATAACTATTCCTATTTAGGATAAGAAAATCTATAATTATTCCTATTTTACAGTAGGGAAACCTAATAACTTTAGGACTAAGAAAATAATAACTAAACAGAAATAAAGCCTAGACCTAGACAATTTCCAGATTTCCAGCAACCCTAGAAAATTACTAAAATACCCTTCCATTCTAAAATTTAAATAAAAAACATAAATCTTAGTCTTTTGTCGTCCGCATCATGTGGTCATTTTAAAAGTTAAGATAATAATATTGAACAAGCTGCTAGGCTCTTAGATTTTGGTGGTTTCTTACAACAAAATGGTACCATCTATGCTGATGCCATCTGTCATGTTAATGGTGAATATGCTATATAATTGTGGTAACTTGGACATCTATTGCTTTTTTGTTGCCTAGAAGCCTCGACTATGTGGCATCCAGATCCTTCTGTTTTCAAATGATACCTGTGATTTGGTAATGCTGTAGTAGTTTTTTATGCATGATAAGCATGCTATGTCAATGAACTTTCAGACACATACTGTATTCTTATTGGCAGTTGACATATATGGTTTTAAATAATGAGTTTTGTATTGAGAAGTGATTGTCATATCCATCAGATGATGCTAATTAATGATGCAGGTTTTCACATGTGGCGATAATTCATCATTTTGCTGCGGCCACAAAGATACAAATCGCCCCATATTTAGGCCTAGGCTAGTTGAGGCACTAAAGGGAGTTTCATGCAAGCAGGTAAGACACATATCACTATACTATTTTCTGATTGATTTTGTTTCTAATGCATGTCCATACCTTGTTTAACGGGTTCCTAAGCGACGGATATGTATTTTAGTTGGTTTTGCATAGTATAAGTAATATGAAAACTGTTGCTATTAACCTTTGCTGGTGGGGCATGTTTGCACATGATAATTCATAAACAGTTTCAAGGCCTATTTTTTTCTTAACAACACTTATCTTATTTGGCTTTTTTTTTCCTGCTATATCCAACCATTGTATTGTGGTTGAATACCAATTGTGTGTGTTTGATTTAGAACCTGTCACTTGTGAAGCATCAAGCTTTTTGTCAAGCTGCCTGGATAATGCACTGTGCCTTGCCTTCAATGCCAATTTAATTTTCTGATACGTGAAGATTAATTTTTTAAGCATCAAAGACTAAATTTAATCAAGGGAAAAGGCATTTAACTTAGGCATGGGAGTTGTACTTTCTTCCTGCTAGGCGGTTCTTTCTTCAACACAAAATACTGTTCGTGTTTTTAACCATTTGACTTTGCCCAGCTGCTTTTGTTTCTTCTGATTAGTTTTTAATTAATTTTTTTAAAAAATGGGAATTGTCTCAGGTTGCTGTGGGCCTTAACTTTACCGTGTTCCTCACAAGACAAGGCCAGCTTTATACATGTGGCACAAACACACATGGGCAACTTGGTCACGGTGACACACTAGATAGACCAGCACCCAAAATCATTGAAATGCTTGAGGGGGTTGGTTCTGTGGTTCAAATAGCTGCCGGGCCCAGTTATGTATTAGCTGTAACTGACAATGGTGTAGTTTACTCTTTTGGTTCTGGTTCTAATTTTTGTCTTGGCCACGGAGAGCAACATGATGAGTTCCAGCCACGTGCAATCCAGACATTTAGAAGAAAGGATATTCATGTGGTCCATGTGTCTGCTGGGGATGAGCATGCAGTGGCACTTGATTCAAATGGATTTGTTAGTCTCTGCACCCAAGATGAACTTGTGTTTCATTGATAATGCTTTGTTTTGCTGAATCTAAACTATTCAAAGAACTTCTTTACCTTGCCCTGTAGGTATATAGTTGGGGAAAAGGTTACTGTGGAGCACTAGGCCATGGGAATGAGATTGATAAGACTCTTCCTGCACTTGTGAACTGCCTCAAGAGCTGCCTTGCTGTGCAGGTTTGGTCAACTTTTACTATTGCACCCTTGAAGTAAATTGACCACACTCATTGATTTTCCTTGATCTCCACTACAAAAGTATGCATATTTTGTATTTAGTTTTCTAGGCCATGTATGGTTCTTGGTAACTGAGGGTAGAACTGAAATCCTAGGATGTGCTTACAATAAGCAGTTAAATGTTGTTTAGGGACTTGTTTAGAAGAATTTTGGGTTACAATAAACCTGTTGACTATATTCTGGGAACAGTAGCGGGAGATTTTATAGCAAGATAGAAGAACAACAAGAGGAAAGTAGAAGTATGAGAAGAAGAAAACTCTAGGCACCAAGTCTTCAAATAACTCTAGTAGCTCAATTTTATTCCGTGATTCAACTTTATGAAAAAACTTTTCACATAGTTAGTTAAAATATGTAAAATATAACTCATAACTAGACCATGAGTCCTACAAAGACTTGGATTCTTATTTAGTATCATAACTTCTAAGTAAAATAGGATTCCTAAATAGAGTAGGTTTACAAGAAATACTAAAATATATAGAATCAAAGATTAAATAAAACATAATTTCTTAACTTTTCTCTCATTGACTGCACCACCCTCCCTATCTTGTGCATTCTACTAGAACATTTCCATAACCTTGGCAACCTGCACTGTACCTCATGGTTGTTTGCTGTGTCCCTTATGTTCTCTTTTCCTTATAGTTCTCTCCCTCCCTCTTCTCTAAACATACAGCTGCTTCCTCTCTCCTTTCTGTGAGTTTATTATGACAAATGGCAAATGAAACCTGTTAATGCTCCAAAAAACGTATCTTTGCAAGCAAAACCATCTGTCAATGACAACTTTGAAGTTGTCTTAAATCATGCATCTCATGTCTGTTTGCATGTTGTGTATTCTTTTCTCAATATTTTATCCGAGACCCAATCAGTGACAATGCTTGTTATTTTACAGGTTTGTGCAAGAAAAAGAAAAACATTTGTTCTGGTTGATGATGGTTCTGTTTATGGCTTTGGGTGGATGGGATTTGGTAGCCTTGGCTTTCCAGATAGGGGTGTATCTGATAAGGTGATGAGACCTCGAGTCCTTGATAGCTTAAGAGCTCATCGTGTTTCTCAGATCAGCACAGGCCTCTACCACACTGTCGTGGTCACCAACCAGGGCCAAATGTTTGGATTTGGCGATAATGAAAGAGCACAACTCGGGCATGACACATTGAGGGGATGCCTACAACCAACTGAAATTTTTGTTCAAGAAACAGCAGCAGATGATTCAGGCCTTGCTTCAGAGAGCAAATGACCGTCAAGTCTATGAACTCTTCCCTGCTTTGTGGATGCCACGGTTATATCAGAAGTGTACACTGCTAGTCGACACAACTATTCAACTGAGTTAATATTCTCATACCAGAATGAGTTTCTCATATTTTTGAAAACTCGAGTAAAATTGCTTTAGTTGTAACTGAAAATGCACTTATTATAATTGCCGTCTTGTGAAACAATTGTAGCTTCTAATAGTCGCATTGTTCTCACTATTGATTTCAGTAATATTTACTGTGAAAACATTTAGTTGCTTATAGTCTATGGACTTCAGTTTTCCCCGGTATGCACCTGCCTACTAAGTTGAGCATTCCTGCAGCTCGTCACCCTGTCATCATTATCGCTGTTTTATGAGCTGTTTAGGCACTTTGATTCTTGACTTGATATCAGTTGCTTTGCAAGGTTATTTCCCATCGAAGTCTGCAGGAGCTTGATTCAATCGTAGGTTCTTCTGAATTTAACCAGCAGTCCTCTTTTCTAATCTTTATCTTAGAAAATTTCGTAGCTAGATTTTTCTTTTTTCTTTTGTTACTTTTAACTTTGTCAGGTCTTAACTAGAATTTGATCATAGATTTTTGTTCAATGCCTCAAATAATTTATCTACGCTGAGTCGTAGAAGCAGTCTACTTACTCAGTGTATGAGTAATTTATGGTAATTGTGTGTGAAGTTTTGGGGTGCTTAAACAACAGTGGTCAACGGTAATTATCATTAATTAAGTAAACTACCAAAGATTAGAATATGAATTTTATACATAAATATACAAGAAAGTCAGACTCGATACCAAAACATCCTGATTTTAATTATATATCAAATTGAGATTTAGATTTATGGTTTAGAACAAAACTTAAATTTTTAAATAAATTTTATTGAGAATTGGTCTTAATTAAGACAGTAACTGACAAAAGAACCTGTTTCGTTTTTGTGTGGTGGGGGTGTTATTGCAAAATTATGTTTGGGACTCTTTGCATCATTTCTTGGATCAGAAGTGGATGCCTGTGCAGTGTAGACATCAGTATCGGTAAATGAGTCCTCATCTGTTGGTTGGAACAGAACATAAAAATCTTCTCTCATTTATTGGCAACCGTACAAGACGCCAGAAGTAGGTAAAATTTCAATTTAGTCGAAGGATATGACTTCTTATTGCAGTGAGAGTGGAGATTTCAGTTCCCTAAACGATTGTTTTTGACATGTGTTGATGTCTCTTCCAGCTGTATTGACCATACCCAACTAAACCTACCGGCTATAGAATTGAATATTAAAAGCATTTCACTTCTGAAATTATGCATTGAAATTAAGCTGTTTTTGTGTGAGCTTGAATGATCCTCATCAAGTCCATACGTGTTTTGCTAAAATTAAGCGCGGGACAAAGAAACTTCAAAGACACTTGTATTAGAATGTGTAACGATTAGGACATTTGGTGTTTTTTCCCTTCAGCAGTTTGGACTTGATATGTAACATTTTCCAAAGAAAGAGAACCAGTCATGCACAATTGCAATGACTCCATTACTTCTGCTAGAACCCAGAAGAAGAAAATAAGCTTTGATTGTATTGCATTGATGATGACCTCATCGTTTTCCCCTCGAGTTTTCTTTTCTGTTTTTGCCTTGATGAAAGTTTGATAAGAAAGGCAGGCAACTTTGAGGAGAAAGATACAGGGTATTGGATTGTTTCCTGTAGATTCCAATTTAAATTGCATACTGAAACGACAGAATCATCAAAGGTTGTTGCTGTTGTAGGTGCATCACTAGTTAAGTATTTGTGTCCTTTTGTGTACGAAAATTTCATATTTCTGCAGGAATCTCATCCCCTTAAAAAAAATCTCAAGACGGTCACAGAATGTAGCCCACAATCCACACCCATGATCATGATTTGTCACCATATAGATTTGAAACTCCGACAAGTTGTATATAAGAAAAAGTTAAAATCAGAGAGACCAATCTGATCACATGTGGGCTGATTCACCCCCCACGTGCTCCAAGCATTTTACATGTCACTTGAATTAAACTATGAATTTAACGTTTACACACATGACATAATCTTCAACGAAATCATAGTCCACAACGCAAACACTTTTTGATAAACAAAGGACAGAATGTCAGATATGCATATATCTGCTCTTCAGCTTCAATAATTAAAAGTAGAAAAGGTACAAAAGATACAATAAGACCAAGAAAAGGAAAACACATTCAAATTATGCAACCAAAGACCAACTCTCCTCGTCTCAAAAAGGTTTCAAATTGAACTATCAAGAGGTGATGCAGCGGTAAGAACTTAATACTAAGGAGTTTGTTTCTCTTGTGATCTCGGATTCAAGTTCTGATTGCTTCCTTTGGTGGTCACTCGAAGCGCTTATATGATCGTTAACTTCGTGACTCACGGGATTAGTCGACGTTCGCATAAGTTGACTCGGACACCTACGTTATAATTAAAAAAAAAAAAGTTTCAAATTGACTCAATTTCCTACCACTTATTTCCTTCATCAAATCTCACCAAGATCAGCATTAAGCCTAGCAGATGATCAAGCCATTAAAAAAAAAAAAAAATTAAATACATAAAGCTCCTCATCTTTTTAGGCCATATCTTCCAAACTTTCCCTGAAAACTTTTAACATGTCATAAAATCTGACAATGCCAACCAAGCTACAGTCATCCTCTGTGACCCACACGTAATTCACTCTATGAGCAATTGCTTGAATCATCACTGCAACAAGTGAACTCTTGGGATGACAAACTATTGCCTCTGCTCTTCTCACCATCCTGGCTGAGTAACTCATGGACCTACTATACCTTCCTGATCTATGCAATGCGCTAACTGGGGTGCTGCACCCTGACTCCTCATCTGACGATGAAAATTGTGACTGACATGAATTAGTAGTTGAGTAACAACTAGAATTAATGAATTCTTGCAGCATTGCTTCAAGGCCTCTCTCTTTAAGCCTTGCCGTGACCACCCTAACAAGGTCCTCTGGGGGTCCTCCACAATCAATGTAGGCCATCAAGTCCCCGGAAGAAAGGGTAGTGATTGCAGCTGCAACACTTTCATCACAGCAGGCTAGAGTGAATGGAGAGATCTCCCCAATCAAGATGCCATCACTGTCAATGACAGCAACTGAAGTTTCGTCCGCTAGAGAGCCAGAAATGGCTTCAAGTTCTGAGATAGCGGGGGAGTGGTAGTCAATAGTAAGAAATTCAGTGCTTATAATGCCAAGTGCGTCAATGGAGAGAGCTGGAAGTGGAGCAAAGAGGCCAATGCAGCTGAGGAAGTATCTGATTATGTCTTCCTGTGTTAACCAGCAGAATTCCCGGCCGTTGTGGATGGTGGGACTGGCGATTGAGAGTTTTTGGTGCTGTTTTTTTCTTGAACTATATCTGGTCTTTATTGGGACTACTAGATTTTTGGCTCCTTGGAGGATGAGATCAATTGCTTTCAATAAGCTGAAAGATGAAGAACAGAGTGTTTATTAATGGAATTGCAAGAAACAGAACAAGAACTCAAATTTGTGTAGCAACTAAATTATTGGGGTTCAAATTGCTGTCTTTTATACATAAATATAAAAGAAAGTCAGACTCGATACCAAAACATCCTGATTTTAATTATATATCAAATTGAGATTTAGATTTATGGTTTAGAACAAAACTTAAATTTTTAAATAAATTTTATTGAGAATTGGTCTTAATTAAGACAGTAACTGACAAAGAACTAATGAAAGAAAATTATAAATTTTATACTAAAGAGATTATTACCAAGAGTGCCTTTGAGCAAACACTAAATAGCTAGGAAACTCCCACAAAGAAAGTTAAAACTGAAAAATCAATAAACCCAGATAAGAACACCAATTAAAACAGAAAAAGAAAGGCATCAAATTCAAGAATTGACAAAAACATAAAGGCCCAATACAACTCGAAAAACAAAAGGCACAATTCTCAATACCTTGAAGTTGGTTCCACATGAACAACAATCCCAGGAATCTCAGGCAAGAGAACAGAAACAGGTGCTTTGAAAGCATCGGAAGGAGACAACAAGTTCTCATCTTTGCAAAGATAGCATATCACATCCACCATAGAAACTTTACCAACACATTTACACTCAACAACATCACAACCTTCCTCTTCACAATTTCCTTTGTAATCTTTGTTAGTTTTTGCTGTGTGGTCACAACTCCACACACTTAAAAAGTTATAGTCGGAGTTTTTAAGAGCAAATAGAGCTTCAGCTATTGTCGTGGTGAGCGACAGAGACCTCAAAGCAGGCTTGCCTAAGCAGAGGTCAGATACCTCACGACCAAGTAAACTCACTGCCATACAAGAATGAGCAAATCCAAAACAAAAACACTTGCAAAGACAGTGAAAACAAGAGCAAGTTTAGCGAGTGATTGAGGGCGTTGCTGTAAGGTTATGAGGGGGGTATTTATAAGGAAAATGCGGAGTTATACGAGGGTGGGGTTGATGATGATATGATAGGTACGGTCTAAGGTACAAAAAGCTGTGGGGTCTATGATTCCTGTTGGCTTCTTGGTGTGTTTGCAGGTTTGTACAGATCAGCTGTTGGTGTTTTAAGTTTGGTTTAACGGGCAATGCTGTCTGTCGCATGTGAGTTTTGGAACTTTCAAGTGTTGAGTTGTGTCTGTCTATTTGATATTTATTGCAAGTTTTGGAACTTTTAGCGTAAAAAGGTTCTAGGGTTTGTATGTTTGTGGTTCCATAGTCAAGACCAGTTTGTGAGTCCTAATTTATTATTCACAATTGTAACCCAAAAATTTACTACGAATCTCAGATTACCACATTTTCTTATGGTGGCATAATGAAAGCTACTACATAGAATTGGAATGCTTTCTGTATTATTCTGAGTGGAATAAGTTGTGCGAGAGGTATTCCTTAGAAAAGAAAGGTTTTGTTTAAGTTAATGCGTTTGTTGACTTGAGGAAACCAACGGAAAATTAATAGTAAGATTACACTTTGAGTATTGGTCAAACTATAATTAAATAGCCCTGATTTTTTTTTTTTTTTTTTTTATATACAATCGATTCCTGAACAAAATTTGGAGTTGATGTCGAATCTTTCAGTTAACTTTCCTTAGGGTTACATCCATCTTTTCGTAATAAAAACGTGCCCAATAATCTCAGTTAAGAAAATAGAAAAACTTGATTTCCGTTACAAATTTATTTAAGGATGTATTATTGCGTCATTATTATTATTATTTTGAGAGACTATTTGTGTCTTGACTGACCAAGAGTGATGTGATGAGTTTAATATTACTCTTTAATATTTTTTTGAAAAAAAAATGAAAAAGAAAAGGAAAAAATACTAATTTTTGTTGTGAAAAATAAAAGATATATGAGAATTTAAAGTAAGGATGACAAGAAGAAGAATTCACTATAAAGTGAATAAAAGTGAGAAAACTTCAAGTTATTCTCTTAATCTCTCTAAAAACTTGTATATCAACAAATGAACAATCAAGCCTATTTATAGGCCTCAAAATTGAGATGAGAATTGAAAGGGACTATGAATAATTAAAAGTACATCAATTGCATCACCCTTTCAATTTCTCATATTGAATGGTGAATTGAATCACATTAAGGATTATGAGTAGTGAGGATATGAAAAGTAGATGGACATTCATATGGGCATTCATTATTTTATAACACTCCCTCGAATGTCCATTGTCCAAGGAATATGCTTCGTTAAAACCTTACTAGGGAAAAACCTAATAGGAAAAAATCCTAGTGAAGGAAAAAAGAGTACATTATTCCTTGCACACATTAATACCTATTTTGGTCTCCCCATGTTGAAGACATTATTTAAGATCTATAAGATGACGCATTCCAATCTTGTGAATCATCTTCTCAAAAGTTGTGGTAGGTACTCGCTTTAGTGAACAAATCTGCTGGGTTATCACTTGATCGAATTTGTTAAACATTAATATCACCATTTCATTGAAGATCATGTGTGAAAAATAATTTTGGTGATATATGTTTCGTTCGTCACCTTTGATGTATCCTTCCTTTAATTGAGCTATATAGGCAATATTGTTTTCATACAAGATTGTTGGAACTTCCTTGCTAGTGGATAAACCGCATGTCTCTTGAATATAATGGGTCATTGATCTTAACCAAATACATTCTCGACTTGCCTCATGAATTGCTAGTATTTCTACATGGTTTGAAAATGTGACAACTATAGTTTGCTTCATAGAACGCCATGATATAGTCGTATCTCCATATGTAAATACATAACTAGTTTGAGATCGAGCTTTGTATGGATTAGATAAATAACATGCATCCGCATAACCAATTAATCCGAGCTTTTGATTTGTTAGAGTAATATAAGCCCATATCAATTGTTCCTCGGAGATAATGTAATATATGTTTAATTCCATTCCAATGTCTCCGTATTGGAGCAGAATTATATCTTGCTAATAAATTTACGTAAAATGCTATATCGTGTCGAGTATTATTAGCAAGATACATTAATGCATCAATTGCACTAAGGTATGGTACTTCGTGACCAAGAAGTTCTTCGTTATCTTCTCAAGGTCGAAAATGGTCCTTTTAAACATCAAGTGAACGAACTAGCATTGGGCTAGTCAATGGATGAGCCTTATTCATGTAGAATCTTTGTAGTACTTTTTCTATATATGTTGACCGATGAATAAAAATTCCATCTTTTAAGTGTTCGAACTGCAAGCGAGATAAAATTTTATTTTTCCAAGATCTTTCACATCAAATTCTCCTTTTAAATAATTTATGGCGCTTATAATCTCTTCAGGAGTTCTAATTATATTTAAATCGTCAACATATACAACAATTATCACAAACCCCTTTTCGAATTTCTTTATAAAGACACATGGACAAATTGGGTTATGTTTATAACCTTCTTTTAATAAATAATCACTAAGACGATTATACCACATACGTCCAGCATTGTTTCAATCCATATAGAGATCTTTGTAATTTAATCAAATATATCTCTCGAGAATATATTTTACATGCTTCAAGTATTTTAAGTCCTTCGGGACTTTCATATAGATATCATTATCAAGTGACCCATATAAATAGGTCGTGATTACATCCATTAAATGCATATGAAGTTTTTTATATGCTCGTCAAGCTAATAAGATAACGAAATATAATTGCATCCATTACAGGAAAATATGTCTCTTCATAGTCAATGTCGAGTCTTTATGAAAACCCTTGCGCTACAAGTCTTGCTTTATATCTCACAATTTCATCTTTTTTATTTTTTTCTCACAAATACCCATTTGTATCCTATTGGCTTAACATCTTCAAGTGTTTTAACTATAGGTCCAAAAGCTGTTCGTTTTGTGAGAGACGTTAATTCGTCATGAATTGCATCTTTCCACTTAGGCCAATCATCTTTATGTTGACATTTTTCAATGGATTTATGCTCGGGATCCTTATTCAAAATATCAATTGCCACATTATATGCAAAGTTGTTATCAATGAATGTTTCTTTTCGGTCTCATACTCTCCATGTGTTAACATAATTTATCAAAATTTCTTAATTTTTCTCAAGCAATTGGGCTTCTTCCGGAAGCTTGTTATTAAAAACATCTTGGACCGTTTTATCTCGCCTCCTTTATATTTTCATCTTGATTATTTTTCCTTTTTTTCTTTCGAGGATTTTTATCTTTAGAACCGATCGGTCTTCCACGCTTCGGGCGTGCTTTAGATTCATTTGTTATAACATTAATAGATTATCCTACTCGGGACATCAATTTTAATAGGAGCATTCTCAACAGGAACATGTGATTTAGTTACTCTCTTTGGATCGGAGAATGCATCCGGTAGTTGGTTTACAAGACTTTGTAAATGAATTATCCTCTCGAACTTCAAGTTCACATTGTTTTGTATGGGGATCAAGATGATATAAAGATGAATTATTCCATGTAATTTCTTTTTTCAACATTTCTAATCGCTTATTCTGTTTATTTTCTCCCCTAATTTTGGAACAATGGTTTCATCAAAATGATAGTTAGCAAAACGAGCCGTAAAAACATCCCCCGTTGATGGTTCAAGATATTTAATTATAGAAGGAGATTCATATCCAACATATATTCCCAATCTCCTCCGAGGACCCATTTTAGTTCATTGTGGAGGAGTAATCGGGACATATACCGCACATCCAAAAATCCTCAAATGAGAAATATTAGGCTCATGACTAGAAACCAATTAAAGGGGAGATAATTTCTAATAACTTGTAGGCTTGATACGAATAAGTGTTGCTGCATATAAAATAGCATGTCCTTAAACATAAACATAAAGTTTTATTTTCATAAGTAATGGTCTAGCTATCAATTGGAGGCTTTGGATAAATAATTCCGCTAGACCATTTTGAGTATGAACATGAGCAACGAGTCGTTCAACTCTTATTCTAATAGACATGCAATAATCATTAAAAGCTTGAGATGTAAATTCACCAAGCATTATCAAGGTGAATTGTTTTAATGGTATAATCATGAAAATTATGCTCGTAATCGAATTATTTGAGTAAGTAACCTCGAAAATGCCATATTTCGAGTTGATAATAAGCATACATGTGACCATCTTGTAGATGCATCTATTAAAACCATAAAATATCTAAATGGTCCACATGGTGGATGAATTGGTCCACATATATCACCTTGTATATGTTCTAAAAATGTTGAAGAGTCAATATCAATTTTATTTGGTGAAGGCTTAATAATAAGTTTGCCTTGAGAACACGCGAACATGAAAACTCATTAGATTGAAGAATCTTCCGGTTCTTCAATGGATGTCCATACGAATTTTCAATAATTTTTTGCATCATAATGAATCAATGATGGCCCAATCGATCATGCCACAAAATAAAAAGATTAGTAAACTTTCGGTTTACTATGGTATTTGTTTCAATCATTTAAATATTTGTATAATAAATGCCGAAAAGAAAGCGAGTAATTTCTCCAATACATATTTTCTACATGATTTAATTTTTGTAAATATAAGTACTCAATATTCTCAACATTTGTTGTCTCAATATGATATCCATTTAAACGAATATCTTTAAAACTCAATAAATTTCGTGGGACTTAGAAGAGAATAATGCATCATATATAATCAAAATTTTCCCTCCAAGTAGTAATATATTTGCTCTTTCGGAGCCATTAATTAAATCAACACTACCGGATATAGTGTTAACATTAGCCTTGTCCATCGTTAGATTGGAGAAATACCTTTTATTTTTAAGTATAGTATGTGTGGTTGCACTATCCACGAGGCATAGATTCTCCTCCATGACGTTTAAACCAATTGCAAACTTGATAA